AACCCCGATGCCTGCTGTATATTGGGAGTTTGCATGTTCTTCCCATGGTCGCGTGGATTTTTGTCTGGGTCCCCCGGTTTTTACATCCACATTTAGAAACGTGTTTGAGTATTTCGGCTGCGATACATTTCTGCGATAATCCACTTGGTTCAGATATCATTTGTGATAGCCAGGTCGCTTCTGAAAAAGAGCGATATAGCTCAGTGGGGCATTACCCGGTAAAATAAAATAGTTTAGAGTATGGGTCGCTGTGGGTTTCTATTGGTCTCTTTACATCTCTGCAATACGTTTTCACGTGATGATGATAAGCCACTTGGCTGAGCTATCATATTTGTGGCAGCCAAGTTTCTTCTAAAAAGAGCCGCAAAGCTCAGTGTGGGCCTTACCCGGTAACATAATGAAACACAAAGGGATAGTTTTAGTTCATCCGATTGTGTAGGGCAATGCTAACCCTGGCTGCAACTCGACGTGCAATCTGCACGTTCGCCGTTGAACGCGTCACAATTTCATTCGGATTGGCCTTGTCGGGTCGGTCGGAGGGGAAACTCATGAAAACGCATCTTGGTCAGATCGTCACAAGGCCTAACGCAAAGACCAGTTGTGAATCGTTATCGTTTACTCCACACACGCACGAATACTAACAGCCGCCATTCGCCACTAAGTGACGATGACATCACCACGGCGCCTGTGCCAGGCGAGGTGCACTTTGAGGCCAGGTGAAGTGTCAAAGGCTCGCTGACACGTGCACGCACGCACACGCATGCGCATCTAGTGTTGGCCATTGCACCCCCAACGCCGAGCTCACACTCTCCGCGGCGACGGGAAGCGACGCGCATGGCGACAATTGTTCACAATTCCATTTTAATTCATCCCAGCTCAAGCTTCCCCCTGGAGGCTCAATACGGGGCGACGGTCGCACGCGCACCGAGAGAGAGGAGAGAGAGGAGAGAGAAGTTCCACCGCCATGGACGGAAAGATGGAGGAAAGATGCACGCAGCTGATGGTGTTGATGATCGTGATGGTAATGATGATTTTGATTTGAAGCTTTCGTGACTGCAGGAATCCACTCTTTGGATCTTTCGGTAAAGTCACGTTGGTAGAAAATAAAATAAATCACGTGATGATAGATGCTTGTGTTGTGCCCGAAACGTTATGATTTATTTTATACCTACGTGACTTTACCGAAAGAACCAAAGAGTATGGGTAATGATGATGTTGGTGATGTTGGTGATGGTGGTGATGACGGCGGCGGTGGCGCCGGGAGGGAGAGACATCGCGCCGGACATCGAGCGGCGTCTCACCTCTCCACCTCTCTCCCCATCCACGCAATTCGGTGGTTTGTAAAATCGCGCGAAACTTGAACAACAAAATATAAATCGGTGAAACGACCCCCCCCCCCCTCCACGCGTCACAGTTCTGGGTAGTTTTGTTTTACACTGGAAATGTTTTTTTTCGAGCTGGAACCGAACCGTGCTACCCCGAGCCTCGCGAGAAGACGGGAGGGAGTGGGGGAGAGGGGGAGAGGGGGGGGGGCAAGCAGGACCAGGGGCGGCCAAGCAGAGGAGGGCCCAGGAATGTTCGTGTCACGTGACGCCGACGCGGCGCGGCTCGGTTTAGTGCAGTGGAAGAACAACGGCGTGCGGGCAGCCCAGCCCCTGGTTGTTTTCGTTTGGTGGGGCGAGCAACGCCGCGATTTGGGGTTCTTGGGATCGCTCGGCACTGCCAATCGGCGGCGGAACAAAACGAAAAACCCCACCGCAGCGAACCGCAACGAAAAAAAATATACAAAAGTAAAAATCAAACCAGCGCTTGGGGCCCGGCTCTGCGCACGCCGGTGGTGCGGCCAACCGGCCCGCGGACGCCGGGAAAAACGTTCAGAAGCAACAAAGTCGTCGTCGCCGTCGAGAGCTAAAAGCGTCTGGCAGAGCAATTCCCAACAGCGGTGGCAGTGGCGGCCGCATGAACCGTGGCCCTCCCTCGATTCTAAACGGCGCTGAGCGTAGAGCAACAGCGACGCTACTGAAAGCGCAACGATCGCAGAGACACCAACGGGCGTAGCGAAGACGACGTCCCGCTTGCTCGTCCCAGGCTGCTCAAACAAGCACAGGGTGGGGCTGAGGCTCGCTCACCGCCCGGCGTCTCCCGTGGTGTCGATCGGAGGGACGGACGCACAGAAGGACGGACACAGGGAGGGATGAACGCCGCTAACGAACGCAAGTCAACACCGGCGATTCTACTGTGAGCAACCCGTTGCCTGTAGAAAAGGCAGATTCTGCTATGGGAAATCAGTTGCCTGCAGCAGACAGATTTCAGTGTTGGCAACTGATTGCCTGCAGCAAAGACAGATTCTACTGTGAGCAACTGATTGCCTGCAGCAGATTCTACTGTAAGCACCATGGTGACTGCCACCATCACCACCACCACTATCATCATCACCACTCTCTTCATCATCGCCACCATCATCACCACCACCACCATCATTATCATCACCACCATCACCTCCACCATCACCACCACCACCACCATCACCACCACCACCACCATCACCACCACCACCATAATCACCACCACCATCACCACCACCACCATAATCACCACCATCGCCGCTGCCACCAACCTCTCCATCATCACCACCACCACCCTCCCCATTACCGCCGCCGCCACCCTCACCGCTGCAGCTAATGTAGCCGTCACCGTAACCATCGCCATCTCCCATGGCCGTCGCCATCACGTCGAGGTCATCGCGTAGTGGAACAGAAGCGAAATTAATTAACAGAGATCCCTTAACCCCCTACACACACTCACTCGCCACACACAATAGCCTATGCATAACTTGAGCCAGATCATCAGCAACTATTAGCAAATCGTTGTAACTCACAAGCAAAACATATTTTAATTGATGAAGCAAATATGTTGCTGAACAAAGAACCAACGCTCAGATAAACACACACACACGGCAGACTAACAAACATGACACACACGTGTGCACGTACGCACACACATCACACACACGGCACACGTGTACACACACACATCACACACACGGCACACATGTACACACACACACACACAAACATCACACAGCACACGTACACACAGCCCGTACACACACAGCACGCGCACACGTACACACACGGCACGCACACAAACATTAAAAAAGACAAAGATCCCCCGTGTAAGCCTTAACAGGCTGTTGGGGCAAGTGCTGTTAGCGAGCAGTACCTATGAAGGCCGCCACAGCTCACAAGGGGGTGGTGAGGTGGCCAGCACCACGCTCGGCCGCCTTTGTCTCCCCAGTGACGATGTTTGAACACCGCACCAGGTACTCTCTTGAGTTTGACCTCGGGGAGGCCCAGGACCGGTTTAGATAATCGTTACCGGTGTTGGGAGGCCGTGAGCGGGAATCGAACTTGGGTTTCTATCGCTGCGCTACCGCTCCCCATGTACATACACAAAGATCCCCCGTATAGCCTGAGCGGACTGTTGGGGCAAGTGCTGTTAGCGAGCAGCACCTATGAAGGCCGGCACGGTGCACAAGGGGGTGAGTGGCCAGCACCACGCCCGGCCGCCTTTGTCTTCCTAGTGGGGGAAAACACACATCAGAACCAGGAACTCATTTGAGGCCGAGTCGACCTAGGGGAGGCCGAGAATCGGTCCATATAATTGTCACTTGTGTTGGTGGCGGTGAGCGAGAATCAAAGTTGGGTGGCAGGGTTCGTAGCGCAGCGCTCTGACTGCCACAAAACTGCTCCACACACAAAGGTCCCCCGTGTAGCCTTCACAGACTGTTGGGGCAAGAGCTGTTAGCGAGCGCTCATGAAGGCCGGCACGGCACACGAGGGGGTGGGTGGCCAACACCACGCCCGGCCCCCTTTGTTTCCCTAGTGACGATGTTTACACATCGCACCAGGTACTCATTTGAGGCTGAGTCGACCTAGGGGAGACCCGGGACCGGTTCAGATAATTGTCACCGGTGTTGGCCGTGTGCGAGGATCGAACCTGGGTCGCCAGGTTCATAGCGCAGCGCGCTAACCGCCACACTACCGCTCCCCACACACACACACGGGTACACACACACACACGGGTACACACACACAGACTTGCGTACACACACCACAGACCGACCACAGACCAACCACACAGGTACGCACATACGCACAAACACCCATACCTCGTAGACACGTACACACGTACACCTCCTACACACACACGCGTACACACACACCTCGTACACACACACCTCGTACACACACACACGCGTGCACACACATGTGCACACACGCGTGCACACACACACACGCGTGCACACACATGTACATGTACACACACGCGTGCACTCACTGAGCAGTGTTAATCTTGACCTGAACCTATACAACCTATTGACTTGAACCTATACAAGTTTGGTTTCCACGGTGATTGATTGACTCAAGGTAGTTAATTGATCAATTCTCATGGAGCTGCCTCTCCATGAGTGGTGCAGTGATGAGTGGGACAGTGATGAGTGTGATGAGTGGGACAGTGATGAGTGTGATGAGTGTTGCAGTGATGAGTGTGATGAGTGTTGCAGTGATGAGTGTGATGAGTGGGACAGTGATGAGTAGGACAGTGATGAGTGTTGCAGTGATGAGTGTTGCAGTGATGTGTGATGAGTGTTGCAGTGATGAGTGTGATGAGTGTTGCAGTGATGAGTGTGATGAGTGTTGCAGTGATGAGTGTTGCAGTGATGTGTGATGAGTGTTGCAGTGATGAGTGTGATGAGTGTTGCAGTGATGAGTGTGATGAGTGTTGCAGTGATGAGTGTTGCAGTGATGAGTGTGATGAGTGTTGCAGTGATGAGTGTGATGAGTGTTGCAGTGATTAGTGTTGCAGTGATGAGTGTGATGAGTGTTGCAGTGATGAGTGTGATGAGTGTTGCAGTGATGAGTGTTGCAGTGATGAGTGTGATGAGTGTTGCAGTGATGAGTGTGATGAGTGTTGCAGTGATGAGTGTGATGAGTGTTGCAGTGATGAGTGTGATGAGTGTTGCAGTGATGAGTGTTGCAGTGATGAGTGTGATGAGTGTTGCAGTGATGAGTGTGATGAGTGTTGCAGTGATGAGTGTTGCAGTGATGAGTGTGATGAGTGTTGCAGTGATGAGTGTGATGAGTGTTGCAGTGATGAGTGTGATGAGTGTTGCAGTGATGAGTGGGACAGTGATGAGTGTGATGAGTGTTGCAGTGATGAGTGTGATGAGTGTTGCAGTGATGAGTGGGACAGTGATGAGTGTTGCAGTGATGAGTGTGATGAGTGTTGCAGTGATGAGTGTGATGAGTGTTGCAGTGATGAGTGTGATGAGTGTTGCAGTGATGAGTGTGATGAGTGTTGCAGTGATGAGTGTGATGAGTGTTACAGTGATGAGTGTGATGAGTGTTGCAGTGATGCGTGTTGCAGTGATGAGTGTTGCAGTGATGAGCACGTGCAGTTTGTCTTGTCAATCCAATGCAGGATGGGTGGCGGGGGCCATTTGACCATACTTCCCCACGCTGGTCAGTGCGTGCCAGTGGAGGTGGGGGACGGCGGCAGGGAGGGCGAGTGCCCTGCTGCCCTCACTGCACCTCCGCAGGCGACCCGACCTCAGCAGGGCACTGGGAAGCAGCAGGGGCAGCTAAAGGAAGGGATTCGTAGCTCCACTGCTTGACTGATTTGGTCCCTGCACCACACAGATACACGACGACAAGTCAACCGCCATCCCCATTGTTCGTGAACCGAGTTGTTCGTGAACAGAAGCGTTCGTGAACCGAGGTATCACTGTACCTCGCCTGGTCTGCAGGAGGTGGTGGGTTTCCATCCCGACCCTGACGATGCCTGCTGCTGCTGCTGCTGTATATTTGGAGTCTGCGTCTCTCTCTTATTATCACGGTCGCTAGGAGATGTTAACTACCTTGCCTGGTCTACAGGAGGTGATGGGGTCGATACTCTTTGGTTCTTTCGGTAAAGTCACGTAGGTAGAAAATAAAATAAATCACGACGTTTCGGGCGCAACACAAGTGTCCATCATCAGGTCACGTCTGAGAAAGAGCTACACAGTTCAGTGGGGGCCTTACCTGCTCAAATACATTTGATTTAATTTTAATCACGTGAAGTGTTGAAAGCTCACAGGGGGTAGGAGGTGACGGGACAGGCCCAAAAAGATGAAGCCAAAGATCCCAACCGTATAGCCCGCACGGGCTGTTGGGGCAAGTACTGCCAGCGAGCAGCACCTATGAAGCTGGGCACTGCACACGAGGTGGCTGAGTCGACCTAGGAGAGGCCCAGGACAGCTAAAAATAGTCGCCACTGTTATTGGTCATGAGCAGGAATTGATGAACTCGGGTCTCTGTTGGGTTTGCAGTGCAACGCGCGAACAACCGCGACCACGACTGCTCCACGCACACACACGCACACGCACGCACACACACGCACACACACACACACACGCAGACACCCTCGAGGAACAACACCCTCATCCTCCCACACACGTGCGCGGGCGAATGTGCGTGTGGGTGCGTGTCGGCGTGCATGCGCGTGCGTGGGGAATGTTAGCATAGCGGTTAGTGCGCTGTGCTATGAACCCGGCGGCCCCACCAACACCTGAACCGGTCCTGGGCCTCCCCTCGGTCGACTCAGCCTCAAATGAGTACCCGGTGCGGTGTGTAAACATCGCCACTGGGGAGACAAATGCGGCCGGGCGTGGTGCTGTCCACCCACCCCCTCGTGTGCCACAGTGCCGGTAGCCTTCGTAGCTGCTGCTGCTACTCGCTACTAACAGCACTTGCCCTACAGTCTGTTAGAGGCTACACGGGGGATCTTTGTCTGTGTCTACCTTCATAGGTGCTGCTGTTAATCGCTACTAACAGCACTTGCCCCTACAGTCTGTTAGAGGCTACACGGGGGATCTTTGTCTGTGTCTACCTTCAGAGGCGCTGCTGCTACTCGCTACTAAAAGCACTTGCCCCTACAGTATGTTAGAGACTACACAGGGGATCTTTGTCTGTGTCTACCTTCATAGGTGCTGCTGCTACTCGCTACTAACAGCACTTGCCCCTGCAGTCTGTTAGAGGCTACACGGGGGAGCTTTGTCTGTGTCTACCTTCATAGGTGCTGCTGTTACTCGCTACTAACAGCACTTGCCCCTGCAGTCTGTTAGAGGCTACACAGGGGATCTTTGTCTGTGTCTACCTTCATAGGTGCTGCTGCTACTCGCTACTAACAGCACTTGCCCCTGCAGTCTGTTAGAGGCTACACGGGGGATCTTTGTCTGTGTCTACCTTCATAGGTGCTGCTGTTACTCGCTACTAACAGCACTTGCCCTTACAGTCTGTTAGAGGCTACACGGGGGATCTTTGTCTGTGTACCTTCATAGATGCTGCTACTCGCTACTAACAGCACTTGCCCCTGCAGTCTGTTAGAGGCTACACAGGGGAGCTTTGTCTGTGTCTACCTTCATAGGTGCTGCTGCTACTCGCTACTCACAGCACTTGCCCCTAGTCTGTTAGAGGCTACACGGGGGATCTTTGTCTGTGTACCTTCATAGATGCTGCTGCTACTCGCTACTCACAGCACTTGCCCCTACAGTCTGTTAGAGGCTACACGGGGTAACTTTGTCTGTGTGTATGGGGACTTGCCTGCCCAAAGTTGGACACAAACGGATTGGTTGCCATCGAGGTGGCCGTTGGTTTAAGTTGTCCGAAGGCCCCGGCGGCTCCAGTGCCTGAAATAGAACATTGCATTCACTTTCAACGCCTGCGTCGTCCCTATCACCCCATCGTTGTCATATTTGTCATTGTCGTCATCATTGTCGTCATCATTGTTGTCATCGTAATTGTCCGGATAACAATCATCGCTGTCAAATGTTGTCAAATGCGAGGCCAAACAGAGGAATCAATCAATAACATTATGAATATAAATATTATGAATATATTATTGATTGATTATATTATTAATTATTATAATTATCGATTGATTAAAAAAGGCTTTATCCTTCATGGCGTAAATACTCGGAGTTCTACTAAGATGTTCAACACCAAATAGATACAGCGTTTGCAAGGCATGGAGGGTCTGCGTTAACCACACCTGACTTGTGGTGAGACATGCAGACCAAACGTGCTCTACCATGGGATCTTTTTGCCAGTATCAAAATATGAAACATTAGTAATATTTAAAAATACTTTTATTAAAGACGCTTTAATGAAATGTACCGTACAAGAAATGGCAGAACTCCACGACTCCAGGACAATTAGACCCAAGCCGAAACATAACATATAAAAAAGAATGTTTAATTTTTTTGATAGGATATAGTAATGCCATCAGTATGACATAAGTATACCACGTTTGCAGTCGATACCACATTGGGAAGTGGGTCAAAATTGAGTTACAAGATTTGAGGATGTTCAAACGCCAACTAGATACACAGCTTTAGCAAGGAATCAAGCCCTGCATTAACCACACACGACTTTGTGGTGAACATGCAAACAAACGCGACACCATGACACCTCCTGTACGCGTTTAGTCTATTGTCCTTCTCCTCCGATTAGTGTGCAAAAGAACACACACACACACACACACACCGAGACTCACATAGTCACCCACCCACACGCTCACCCACCCTCCGATTAGCAAGGTTGGCTATGTGAAGGTGCGAAAGAAGTTCACAATACAGACTCACATAGTCACTCACCCACTCAGTCACTCAACAACAACAACAGCCATTCGCCAACAAGTGACGGTGACGTCACCAAGGCGCTTGTGGCAGGCTACGGCCCAAGCGTACGGCTTGCGTATGGGGGGGTCTACTGACAATGTATATTTAATAAAGGTCGTGGAAGCGACTTCTGGAATCTGGTCTTTATTTGTCTTTCGTTCACAACAATCCTATCTTACTCCTTCACGCTGCTGACAGACAGTGTGAGAGGGATAGAGAGAGAGACACGCGCGGCCACGTGGCAGCCTGGACCACGTGGCAGCCTGGACCACGTGGCAGCCTGGACCACGTGGCAGCCTGGACCACGTGGCAGCCTGGACCCCGCTCCAGCGTGGCCTCACCCTCCGTTCGTTCCAGATCTGACCACGTGTTGTCCGTCTCCACCCCTTTTAATACCCGGGTCACGTGGTACCTTTCCACCAATCCTGGTTAACCTCTATGGAATCTTCTAGACTCCATCGTACGCTCCCAGGACCGCGCCCCTGACTCTTCCCCCTATTGGCTGTGGCTAAAGCCAGCAGATCCAATCCTCTACTTACAGATGTCACCTTCCCATGACGTCAGGGCCACGCCCCTAGACTTCCCCCATTGGCTATGGGCCAGGACCGGCAGAGCCAATCATCGTAACGAGGTGTGATCCATCAGCAACCCGGATATATCCTCACATTACATCTGCATGGGGGGGGGGGGGTGAAGCCTCGATAATAATTTGTCTAAATTGACCTTCAAATTAGTTAAATAGTCCGGAGGACTATCTGTTTGCTTAAACGCGTTAATATTATTAATCCTTGATCGTTTCTGCGTGGATGAAATATTGGCCGTTCTATAGGATTCGGGGGGGGGGGGGGGTGCGTCAAGCGTACGTACGCAGGTGGGGGGGGGGGGGGTAAAAACTATTTGTGCGTACAGGGAGGGGGGGAGCGGTCAAGTTTTGACAAATTTTTGCGTACGTACTAAATGGATGGCCTCTATGTGCATGTTAAGGCCACGTGAATTGTCAAACGCCCGCTGGCAGGTCCCGGGACAGACCCAGGTGTCATGGGTTGACCGACTGAGATGACTGGTCAATGCATCACCTGTGCCCTCTACTGTGCAAACTTGCTGTGTTTTAGCCACCCGGCGCTCAGCTCGTTGTGAGGATCACTCCTCTGCCCTCTGTTGTTGCTGGAGGGCAACTGCCTCGAACTGCCTCGAACTGCCCAGTAGCGTCCTTCACGAGCCTCCTCCAGAGGCTGATCTTGACACCGCTAGTACCAGTCATCGGCAAGTCCACTCAGCTCCACATCCTCTTGTACCACATCACTCCCCATCTCTTCTGTAGCCCGTGCCGCGCCCGTTTAGCCCCCACTATCTGGCCACACAAAAGCTGTTTAGGCATGCGGTGGCTGGGCATGCGGGCTACAGGACCCAGCCAATGTAGCCTTGCCTGCTGGAGGAGCTCACCGATGGAACTTTGTCCAGATCTTTCAAAGATTTGTGAAATCCTCACACAATCCAGCCTAGTTAAACCCAGCTTTGATCGTAGGCAGGCCAGTGTAAATATTTGTAACCGGCAAATATGTTCCATAAGGGGGTTCCACCTTTCACAAGCAGAGAAGGGAGGGCATGACCATGGCCGAGAAGACCCGAAGCGCTACACAGCCGATGAAAAGACAGTGCTGCTCGACTGATTCGGAGTGAGACCTCTGCTGTCAAACTGTAGCCAGTCATGAGCATACTACCCAGATATAGAAATCTCTCCACTCTCTCCACAACTGCCCCATCACCAATTGGGGGTTGTGCGGGTGGAGTGTTTGATGGCACAAAATATCCAGGAAGGAACTTAGTTTTAGTGGGGCTGATGGTAAGGCCCCACCTCTTAGTGGCACGCTCCAGGTTCATCAGCGGCACCTCCAACTCATCCTCTGAGTGAGCAGCAATCATCATATCATCAGCATACATAACATGGTTGACCAATCGGGAGCCATCCCTTGACCACACCCGGGCATCCATTAGCCTCCCATTGTATCTGTACCAGATGTAATTTTTTTCCTTACAGCCATTGAATGCTTCTCGAACAACGTGGTTGAAATAGATGTAAAAAAATGCGGGAGACATCCCTGTCGTGCATCTTGGTGTGCGACAGGGATGGTATCATTGGCCTTGACCAGGTCAATAAATCAGAGATGTAGGTCTTGTTTAAATTCCCTACACCTCTGGTGGTGCAGACGGACAGATAATATGGCATCTGTGCAGGACCGCCGTGGCCTGAAACCACATTGGGGCTCTGCAAGCCTCTCCTCAGCGTGCCTGGCAAGGCGATTTTGAATAATCCTTGCCAGAACCTTTCCTGGCACACCGAGGAGGGAGATGCCTCTGGAGTTGTTACAATCTGTGGGGTCCCCCTTCTTAAAGAGGGGGGGACCACCAGGGAATCTTTACAATCCTGGAGAACCCGTCCAGTGGTCCAGACTGTTATGATGTCATATAGGGTAGTCTGAGCACAAACGCCACCCTCCCTCAGAATTTCGCTTGAGAGATGATCTCTGCCCGGCACTTTTCCTGGTCTCAAACTCTGGACTGCCTTCTGTACTTACTCAACACAGGGGGTGACTACTTCTTCAAATATTTGAGGCACCGCAGCCTCACCAGGGTCATCCCCATATTGCCCCATGGTGTTTTCAAGGTTGAGGGATTTCCCCTCAGCAAATCTGCAAAACCTGTTCTTGGGGGTCAGAGTTCAAATCACCCTTCTTTCTCCTAATGATGGTGATAGGTGTGGCACTGCAAATTACTTTTTTGATGGAGTTAAAGAGTGATTTGTGATCGCGAGCTACTGAGGCAGACTCCATCTCCTCAACAACCCACGACCACCACCCATCCTTGCAGCGCCGCACGGCTCTGTGAACCTCCGAGCGAAAGCTGTGGTAAGCCTCCTCATTCTCTGACGTGGGATGCTGTAGACGGTGAGAGTGGGCCTGTCGCCTTTTCTCAGCCAGCCGGAACACCTCCTCTATCAGCCAGGGTCTCTGGGGAGGTTTGGACCGTGTACCCAATGCAGCCATTGCAGCTGCATGAGCCACAGTCCTAAACCTCGCCCATTTCCCCTCGGCATGAAGAGGAGAGGGGGACGATGAAAACCCCAGATTCAAGTAATGATGAAATTTTCGCTTCCAACTTTCATCAGCTAACTGAGACCAGGCCACTGTGGGTTTGAATGAGGTCCTGGGTGTACACCCATCACTGGAGTGGAAGAATGGCAGCCGCATCTTACAGATGACAAGTCAATGGTCAGTGGGCAGATCAGCTCCATGGTAGTTCCTAGCAGAGGTGTGGACTCGAGTCATGTGACTTGGACTCGAGTCAGACTCGAGTCATGAATTTGATGACTTCAGACTCGACTTGGACTTGCATAACAATGACTTTGTCCCACCTCTGAGGTGTGGACTCGAGTCATGTGACTTGGACTCGAGTCAGACTCGAGTCATGTGACTTGGACTCGAGTCAGACTCGAGTCATGAATTTGATGACTTCAGACTCGACTTGGACTTGCATAACAATGACTTTGTCCCACCTCTGGTTCCTAGTGTCAAGGACATGGGCCCACATCCGCTGTTCCATCACTATGTAGTCCAGCAGATGTTTTGCTTCGACCCGGTGTGCATCCATGCGCCGATGCCGGAACAGCATCGGTCAGGTGCCAGCATCATGACCAACTCAGGCATTAAAGTCACCCAACAGGATGACTCTATCCCGAGGGGCCACTTTTGATAGCAGCTGTGCCAGAAGGTCATAGAGGGCATCCCACCACTGATGTTCATCTTCGGTGGGGGCGTAAGCAACCACCACCACTCCTCGCCTCTGGTTGATGGGAAGGCGAGCCCATAGTAGCCTGGGGCTTAGCTTCCCATACCTCCAACACCCCCTTCATTATTTTGTTCAGAAGAGCCACACAGTCACTCACCCACTCACTCGCCCTCCGATTAGCACGGCTGGCTACATACGATGCGATAGAAGTTCAACGCACACGCAACAATACCACTCCACTCCACCCTACTTGCCTCAACGCGGCTCCACGCAGCACCACGCCACTCTACTCCACTCTACTCCACTCTACTCCACTCTACTCCACTCTACTCCACTCTACTCCACTCTACTCCACTCTCCTCCACTCTCCTCCACTCTCCTCCACTCTACTCCACTCTACTCCACTCTACTCCACTCTGCGCAGCACCACTCCACTCTAGAATATTCCATTCCATTTCACTCCATACAGCACCACTCCACTCTACTCCAAAGCCACTCCCCCCAACCCTCCACCACTCGCCCCACCCCACCCCACCTCTCCCTCCATCTCCGACCCGTCACGCTCGTGGCGCTCACCGTTCTGCTGACCCTGTGCAGCGTGGTGGGGATGAGGAGCTGCCGCCTGGTGAGCAGCCTGCTGGGAAGCAGGAGCTTGGCGAGCAGGAGCCTGGTGAGCGTGGTACGGCGGAGGCTGCTGCCCGTAGGAGGCGGGGTGAGCCGGGTACGTCCCCGGGAGAGACGGAATCGATGGAGCGGCTCCGGGAAAGGATCCGCCTTGGCCCGGAAACATTCCGGCTGGCTTCGGGAACGCACTTTGCTGCGCCGGAAAAAATCCCTGTTGCCCCGCAAATGAACTCTGCTGCTGCCCTTGAAAGTTACTCTGCTGCTGCTGCTGATGCTGCTGCTGTTGATGCTGCTGTTGATGCTGCTGCTGCTGCTGATGCTGCTGCTGATGCTGCTGATGCTGCTGATGCTGCTGATGATGCTGCTGCTGCCCAGGAAACAAACTCTGCTGCGCTGGAAATGAGGTCTGCTGCCCTTGAAAGGCGCTCGGATGCTGCTGCGGCTGTTGCTGCCCCTGGAAGGCCTGCTGCCCCTGGAAGGTCTGCTGCCCCTGGAAGGCACCCTGTTGGTGTGGCTGCCCTGGCGGAAAAGAGCTCTGTTGCCCTTGGAAGGAGGCCTGGTGATGTTGCTGCTGCCCTGAAAACGCCATCTGCTGCCCTTGAAAGGAGGCCTGCTGCCCAGGGAAGTTGCTGTGATGCTGCTGATGATGCTGCTGCTGTTGATGCTGTGGTTGCACTGGGAGTCCAGTCACTGAGGAAGCAAACGCATCAGCCGCCCCGATAAACCCTGGGGGCAAACAACAGACACTCATACTGACACACTCATACGGACACGCACACGGACACAAAAGTACATTCTGACACACACACACAACAACCACCAATCGCCACTAAGTGGCAGTAAAGTCACCACGGCGCCTGTGCCAGGCACTTTGAGGCCACGTGAAATGTAGAAGGCTCGCTGCTGCCAGGTCACGGGACACTCAGGTGTCATGGGTTGATTGAGGTGACTGGCCGATGCACCAAATGTGCCCCCCTGCTGTGCAAACCTGCCGCATTTTATCCGCCCAGTGCTCCGCTCGATGTTGTGAGCATCACTTCTCTGTCCTCCATTGTTGCTGGAGGGTCTCGAACTGCCCAGCAGCGTCCTTCACGAGCCTCCTCCACAGAGGCCGATCTTGACACCACTGGTACCGGTCACCGGCAAGTCCATTCAGCTCCACATCTTCCCGTACCGCATATGCTCATCTCTTCTCCAGCCTGTGTCATACTCATTTAGCCCCCTTCATCTGGCCAAAGAGAAGCTGTTGAGGCATGCGGTGGCTCGGCATGCGGGCTACATGACCCAGCCAACGCAGCAGCCCTGCCTGCCGGAGGAGCTCACCAATGGCACTGTGGTCCAAATCTTTCAAAGATTTGTAAGCTCTTTACACACAATCCAGCCTGGTTAAACCCAGGATGGATCGTAGGCAGGCCAGCCTGAATGTTTCTAACCGGGACAAATGTTCCTTTAGAGGGGTCCATGTTTCACAAGCATAGATTGTGGGCAAGAAGACCTGACGCTTCATGTGGAGCGACAGACCAGGGAGCTTCCACACCGCGTTACGTAGCTGATGAAAAGATAATGCCGCCAGACTGATTCGGAGTGAGACCTCTGCTGTGAAACCGGAGCTGGTCATAAGCACACTGCCCAGGTATGGAAAACGCTCCACTCTCTCCACAACTGCCCTATCACCAACGGGAAGTTGAAGGCATGGAGTGTTTGATGGCACAAAATACCCAGGGAAGTGTTTACTTTTGGTCGAGTAAGACCCCACCTCTTAGTGGCACACTCAAGGTTCAGCAGCAGCGCCTCAAACTCCTCCTCTGAGCAGCGGTCAACAGACCATCAGCAAGCATCTCCTCAGCGTGCCTGGCAAGGCCGTGTTGAATAATTATTGCCAAGACCTTTCCCGGCACACTGAGGAGTGAGATGCTCCTGTAGTTATCACAATCTGTGCGGTCCCCCTTCTTAAAGAGGGGGACCACCAGGGCATCCTTTCAATACTGCATAATCCGTCCTGCGGTCCACACAGTTGTGATGATGTCAGGTAGGGCAGTTTGCACACAGACGCCACCCTCCCTCGGCAGTTCGCTTGGGTGATCACCCCTCGTACTTCCTCGACAGATGGGACCTCTGCCAACCATTCAGAAGGGGTGGCCACTTCTACCAATATTTGACACACCGCAGCCCCAGAAAGGTCGTCCCCACCTTGCCCAATGATGTTGTCTGGGCTGAGGGAATTCCCCTTCCCTAAGACCTCTGCAAACCTGCAAACCAGTTCCGGGTGGTCGGAGATCGGATCACGGTTCTTTCCCTTAAAGGTGGTGATAGGTGAGGTGCTGAAAATTACATTTTGATGGAGTTAAAGTGATTTGTGATCGCGAGCTACTGAGGCAGACTCCATCTCCTCAGCAACCCGCGACCACCACCCATCCTTGCAGCGCCTCACGGCTCTCCGAACCTCCGAGTGCAAGCTGCGGTAAGCCTCCTCATTCTCTGTATGGTGCTATAGACAACGAGAGTGGGCCTGTCGTTTTCTCTCAAACAGCCAGGAAACACCTCTCCTTTTAGCCAGAGTCTCTGGGGAGGTTTGGACTGCATACCCAATGCAACCATTGCAGCTGCATGCACCACAGTCCTAAACCTCACCATTTCCACTCAATATCAGCCGGAAGGGGGTACAATACCAACCCCAGCTGCAAGCGATGATCAAATTCCTGCTTGAAACCATCCTCAGCTGGCTGAGACCAGGCTACCGTGGGTTTGAATGGGGTCCTAGATGGACACCCACCACCGGAGTGGAAGAATGGCAGACGTATCTTACAGATTACAAGCTGATGGTCAGTGGGCAGATCAGCTGCACGGTAGGTTTTGGCGTCAAGGACATGGGTCCGCATCCGCTGTGCCATTACCATATAGTCCAGGAGATGTTCTTGCTTGGACCCAGCATGTATTCATGACATTCGTGTGGATGTGCCGATGCCAGAGCAGCATGTTGGTAATTACAAGGCCATGGGCTGCTCCCAAGTCTAGCAGCCTCCTACTGTTATTATTGAGCTGGTCAGGCCCATGCATTCCAATCACTCCGACCCAGGTGTCTGCGTCATGGCCGACTCAGGCATCCAAGTGACCCAACAGGATAGGATGACTCTATTCCGAGGGGCCAATTTAGCTAGCACCTTGCACAGGAGGTTCATTGACTTCATCTGCATCCCTCCACTGATGTTCATCTTCTGTGGGGGCATAAGCAACCAACACCACCATTCCTCGCCTCTTGTTGATAGGGAAGAGCGAGCCCCCAGCAGTCTGGGGCTTACAGCTTCCGAAACCTCACCGCCACGCTCCGAAAACCCTTTCACTCTTTTGTTCAAACGAGATGCCACTCCCTGTTGTTTGGCAGTTTCCTTCCCCGAGTGGAGAACTGTCCACCCCTCATGACTGGAGCCAGAACGGATCCATCGGACCTCCTGTATTCCAGAGGTCCAGGCGGTACCGGACCATCTCCCGACAGAGGGATGGCAGCCTCACCTCCACAACGAGAGTTTGAACATTCCACGTGGCCACTCGCAGCAGTGTTCTCCTGTTCCTGGAGGAACCCCGAGAGGGGGGGGGGGGGTCAGTCTGCCTCTGCCAGATGGAGTTTGGCCAAAAGGCATCATAAAGGCTTGTTCCCCTGGGACCTCCAGCACGAGCTTATTGCAATGTGTTCCATCGTGGTGCTTGGTAGAAGTGCCCTCACACACACTAACCTTGCTAGATACATGCCCACCACTCACACCACACACACACACAGCCCGCACCACTTACATACACAGCCTGTACCACCAAATATCAAGGCCTGCACACACACACACAACTTGTACCACACACACACAGCCTGCATCACACACACACCAACTGTGCCGCATTGTACACACTGTCGTACACCACACACTACACTATACAAGCCACAGTACACCACACGCTACAGTACATAGCACGCTACAGTACACAACACGCTACAGTACACAACACGTTACAGTACACAACACGTTACAGTACATCACACGCTACAGTACATAAAAGGTTACAGTACATAACACGTTACAGTGCTACAGTACGAGACACTACTGGACACTGTACAGTAAGCCACACGAGGCTGTACTGCACACTACTGTACACAGTGCAATATAAAAATGTAACAATGCACACAAACACGAACACACACAGACAGTTACATAGACACACAGACATGAGGACACAATACAGATACAAATCATACAAATACTGTACACAGATGCACGTGTTGGCTCACACGCACGCAAAAGTAACAAAAAACGCCAAGATAAAAGCTAAGCAAGGTAAACAATCATGAGCGCTATCTTAATGCACTAACATAACACACCTTGATCCACAACAGACCGCAAGCACCTACCTTGACACACACACACTTTCACAACATACAGTCCCACTCACACACAGCTCCACACACGGTCACTCATACTGACACAAGGATCCCCCGTGTAGCCTAAACAGACTGTTGGGGCAAGTGCTGTTAGCGAGTAGCACCTACGAAGGCCGGCACGGCACACGATGGGGTAGGTGGCCAGCACCACGCCCCAGTCACCTTTGTCTCCCTCGTGGTGATGTTTACTATACACCGCACCAGGTACTCATTTGAGGCTGAGTCGACCTAGGAGAGGAGGCCTATGACCGGTTCAGATAATCGTCACTGGTATTGGCCGTGAGCGGGGATCAAACTTGGGTCGCCGGGTTCGTAGCATAGCGCGCTAAGCGCTGCACTACCGCTCCCCACACTGACACAGACCTATTCACATGCACATACATAGACACACACTGACACACACGTAGATATACTCACACTGACAAACACTCACATTGACATGCATGTACACAGACTCACATTGTGTAGCATGGTGTGGTTACATGGTGTAGCGTGGTATCGCGTGGTATACCATGGTGTGATTAACCGGTGTAGCGTGGTATAGCATGGTATGGTTACACGGTGTAGCGTGGTGTGGTGTGATGTGGTTACGTGGTGCGGTGTGGTTAGCCGGGGTAGCATGGTGTGGTTGCATGGTGTGGTTACATGGTGTAGTGTGGTTACACGGTGCTGTGTAGTGTGGCGTGGTAGTGGGTGCGTGAGGTGTCCGTGGCGTGTCCGTGGCGTGTCCGTGGCGTGTCCGTGGCGTGTCCGTGGCGTGTCCGTGGCGTGACCGTGGCGTGTCCATGGCGTGTCTGCGCACCGTTCGTCTGGAAGGGATTCACTCTCGTGGCCGCGGGGAAGCTCTGCGCGTCAGAGGGGAACGCCTGACTTCCTGTCGCCCCGGAAGTGAACAACGCTTGACTTCCTGTCGCCCCGGAAGTGAAGGCCTGACTTCCTGTCGCTCCGGAAGTGAAGGCGTGCCCTGAGGCAGCGCCGGAAGCGAACGGCGTGGCCGCTGACGTGAATCCGTGGCTTGCTTTTGACCCGGAAGTGAAGGGGTCTCCGGCTGGGGCAGCCTGGGAGGCGCGGCTGCCCTCCGCACCCTGTGACGCCGGCCCTGCGCACGCAGACAGCCACATGCCCAGCTTGACTCGGAGACACACGGACAGACATGGAAATACACGGACTTCGCACGGGAACTCATTACAGCAAAAGTTGTGTTATCAGGAACCTTACCATCCGGAATGCTCTCTAATCAACCGGCATCTGTCGTGGAGCATAAACCATCATCACGCAACCTCCGGGCATCCTCGCAGTAGCAGCTTACGGCTAGCCATCGGACAAAGGCGGTTACTGCATCGCGCGCTTTCAGATGCACTTCTGCGGCCATCTGGAACGCTCTTCCTTCCGATGTTTCTCGTAGATCCATCGTCGTTGTTGATGGGAGCTTCAGGACGCTGCCGACTGGTGGTGCGAGCGGCAGTCTGTAGCTACGGTATTGTACCGCTGTATACTCTATACTGTAGCGACAGTCTGCACGTGCGGTACTCCACCACTGTATCCTGCATACTCTAGCAGCAGTCTGCACCTACGGCACTTGACTAGCGTAGACTGTATACTCTAAAACGGCCCCACTGCTTCTCAGCAATCAACTTATATTTGAACAGTTGAACAGTTTAGTTAGAATTGCCCTGTGAGCTAAAAAAAACTGTAAAATAAAAAAACACGTTTGCAACAGGTCACATAAAAAAATACAATAAATACAGCAAATTAAAAAAAATGTACAATAGAGTGCTCCAGAACAGCACGGCACGGGTGGTGGTCTTCCCACTGGCCACACCCGAGCCAGCGTGGGGTCAGCACGGTACGGGTGGCGGTCTTCCCACTGCCACACCCGAGCCAGCGTGGGGCCAGCACGGTACGGGTGGCGGTCTTCCCACTGCCACACCCGAGCCAGCGTGGGGCCAGCACGGTACGGGTGGCGGTCTTCCCACTGGCCACACCCGAGCCAGCGTGGGGCCAGCACGGTACGGGTGGCGGTCTTCCCACTGGCCACACCCGAGCCAGCGTGGGGCCAGCACGGCACGGGTGGTGGTTTTCCACTGCCACACCCGAGCCAGCGTGGGGCCAGCACGGTACGGGTGGTGGTTTTCCACTGGCCACACCCGAGCCAGCGTGGGGCCAGCACGGTACGGGTGGTGGTTTTCCCACTGGCCACACCCGAGCCAGCGTGGGGCCAGCACGGTACGGGTGGTGGTTTTCCACTGGCCACACCCGAGCCAGCGTGGGGCCAGCACGGTACGGGTGGTGGTTTTCCACTGCCACACCCGAGCCAGCGTGGGGCCAGCACGGTACGGGTGGTGGTTTTCCCACTGGCCACACCCGAGCCAGCGTGGGGCCAGCACGGTACGGGTGGTGGTTTCCCCACTGCCACACCCGAGCCAGCGTGGGGCCAGCACGGTACGGGTGGTGGTTTTCCCACTGCCACACCCGAGCCAGCGTGGTGCCAGCACGGTACAGGTGGTGATTTTCCCACTGGAGGTCCTTTGCCGAGCCGAAACTGAACCGCGATGATAACGCTGCTGCTGCTGGCCTCACAGTAGGACTTCCTAGTCTGGCTCTTGGCCAAGCAGGGCCAAGGTGGCGCTGGGATAACGACGCGGCTTCTGCCGTGGAAAAACAGCCGCGATTGTGTAACCGGTAACCGGTTAGCCGTGTTCAGAATTGGTTCTCTGCATGCACTGAAAACCGGTGTTGACCGGTTTGGCTCGAGTGGTCACAGGCAACACAACCAAACCCGATGTTCAAAACTTGGCAAACACAACCTGAGGCTATGCGCCAGGGTCCACACCTCCAATGAGCATAGCTGGCTATGTACGGTGCGAAAAAAGTTTATTATACATACACACACTTAGACTCACATGGTCACTCACCCACTCACACAGTCACTCACCCACTCACACAGTCACTCACCCACTCACACAGCCACTCACCCACTCACACTGTCACTCGCCCACTCACACAGTCACCACACCCACTCACACAGTCACTCACCCTCTCACACAGTCACTCACCCACTCACACAGTCACTCACCCACTCACCCTCTCACACAGCCACTCGCCCACTCACATAGTCACCACACCCACTCACACAGTCTTTCACCCACTCACACAGTCACTCACCCACTCACAGTCACTCACCCACTCACCCACTCATGCAGTCACTCACCCACTCACACACTCACCCACTCACTCACCCACTCACACAGTCACTCACCCACTCACACAGTCACTCACCCACTCACACAGCCACTCACAGTCACTCACCCAGTCACTCACCAACCCTCCCATTAGAATGATGGATATACGCAGGGTCACCCTCACCTGCTCCAAACAGGTTGTCCAGGTCGGCTAGCGCCGCGTAGCGGTCGGCGTTGGCCCCCCCTTGGGCCCCCTGCTGCAACGACGAGGCGGGGGGGCCCCCATGGGCCCCCTGCTGCGTTGACGAGGAGGGGGGCCCCCCGTGGCCCCCCACGGTGCTGAAGTCGATGGTGGAGGACTTGGGGAAGCCTTCAAACGGGGAGAAGGGCGAGGGGCCTGGCTGCTGTAGAACCTGCGGCGGGAGGGGGGGGGGGGGGAGAGGGAGGGGGGTTAGGGAACGGGGGGTTAGGGGGAGGGAGGGTTAGGGGGAGTTAGGGGGAAGGGGGTAAGGGGAGGGGGGGTTGGGGGGAGGGAGGGTGTTAGGGGGAGGGGGTTAGGGGGGGGGGGT